GGTCCATTCGATCAGTAAACCTTTAATTGGAAGGCATGCATTGTCACAGTTAGCAAATGTCACAAAACCCAAAACAAATCAACTGAATTTCATTTTAAGCTAATCAATATTTATAAATGATTGAGTAAGGTGTGAACTTATGAAGATCAATTACTGAAACTAATTAAAAAGTTTAATCGAAAACATTTGTTTGTGCTTTTTTCTTTCCTCTAAAATATATTTTAATTCAATTTTCTTTCTTTGTCTTTATAAAAGTGTGTCTCTGCTAAAACTAAATGAGATATATTTACAAACAAAGAAAGATTGGCTGTTTTTTTTTTTGTAATCTTTTAAATCAAACATTTGGTGTTTCAGTGTTTAACTAAGGCTACTACAATACTGGTATACAGCAATTAAAGTTGGCTGAACCAGAAGAATTATCTAAGTCAAAATAAAACATTATTTTTCTAGTACGAAGCAAATTAACTACACTAATAGGGATACAATTAGTAAAGCTTCATATGGAGGATAGAGTTTCCCAGCTAACATTTTAATTTCTAATTTCTTCACAGAAATCAAAGGTTTCTCTTGCACTACTGCTGACCATGAATATGGATGTTTCATAAGAAAGTGGCTGAATCTCTACTGATATGAGTGCCGACTTTTAAGTAAAATTCTTTGCTGAAATGGGTTTAAACTTGTTTAGATTGCAGAAATGCCAAGCTATTTTTTCCCTCTGTAAATGAGAAGCTGATATTTGATGAAACAAATTAAGAGCCTTGCAAAAGGCAATTAAACATTTTGTAACAATGAGCGCAGCAGGGATCCTTTACATATCTGTGGCAGAGCTTAGAATCGCATATCAGTGATCAAGAAAGTAATTAGCCTTGATATTTGAAGGAGGAAGCTCTTTACAAACCACATGAAGAAACACACTGACCTATCACTCATTAAATTACCTTGTAAGTGGATTTTTCTTCAATATGGACGCAGCACAGGAAATAGATCTGGTCACTGCAATCATAAATAGACCCTAAAAAGATTAATTCCCAAACACCTAATGCATTTCCTCTAAGTGATCTAAACTCTGGTTTTGGTGTGTATCTTCTTCTATGGAAACCAGGTGAATAAAGTCCTCTGTCCATCTGGTGCAAATTCATCTTGAAAACAGTTTCTCTTGCACATTTTTTTGGTGTGCCTGATTTTCCTCATAGTTCTTAACAGCTGGCACACAAAACCAAAAGCACACGACTGGGAAAATATTTTCCAAAAAAAGAGCCGCTATACCAGACAGGCTACAAGGGTGAGAACAAGTCCACACCCCACATGGCTCATAAGGTGCAGAGTTTCCACCCAGAGGACTAACAAAACAGAAGTTTCTTTTCAAACAAATGCACTTTAGTGGAAAGTTATTCAATTCTTAGTTACACAGCCTGCAGCTATAATACTCCAACAGCATGCCTCTGACTAGGTGGTAGAAAGTTTGCTTGTTTCCTCTCTGTCTCTCCTTCTGATACGGGTTTGATATCCAACAGAAAGGAATTCCATTCAATTTCAATATCCTTGTCTGCATCAAAGAAAACTTCCTTTTTATTAAACTCTTCAGTGAGTGCATCAAAAATCATGCTTAGCCAGGGTTTTTTCCTCTTTTAATGCATAAGGAAAGGGAGAAATAGTATTTGACCTACAAAGCAAAAGTCTAAAAAATATCACTAGGAGATGGTTACCACTAAGTGAGGAATAATGTATAAATGAGTCTGAGACTACCACGAGGCTGAAGAAGAGCAGCAGATTGTTCTTAAAGGAAAAGTCTGGTCATATTCAGAATTCAAACTTCTGAAAGTACTTTAGATGTGATATTGTTACATATTGTTCAATAAATGACCAGTGTTTTTAATTAAGAGTTGTCAAAGAACACTACTGCCACCTACAGGTTAGTGACATCACGGTGCGGTATCGGCTGTTGATCAAGTCCCAGTGCTGTATCTGGTGTTTGTCACAACGCGCTATTATCCAAGTCATCTTGAAAACATTCTTCTTTGAAATGTTGGCTACATATTACGTTTTTTTTCTCTGACTAGAATTTCGATGGCAAGTCCTCCCTCTTCAAGTTGGCAATCAAATGACGAACCCGTGGTGGATCATGAAACAGAAAGGTGAAATACCTAATTTTCTTTTAACTTTACCAGATGTATTACAGCACCCAACTGCCGTGCACGTGGACATTGTCAGCTTAACTATAGCTCTTGCGAATTTCAGCCGTGATGTCCTCTCAAAATCTTAAATAATTGTTGTTGATTGCAGATGTGTCTAGTAGTTCCCATTGATTTTAATTGTAAAGCGGGGAGAATGGCGCTCGGTCACTGTCTGAAGATGTCAGGAGTAAGTTGTTACTAAAATTGGGCAAAAATGTTACCTTATTGTATCTCTTATACTAAATCCGTTGGTTGTGCTGTTCTTTTTGCATCGCTTTGCAGATGATGAAGCAGACAGAAGATGTTTTATCGTTATCTTCCTTTTATCTCCTCTTTGTTTAATCTTTCTCCTTTTTTCTGTTCTTCCTTTCCTGTTCTACTTACATTGCAGTGTCAATATAATCTGTAATACTCCCTGCATAGCTTATAATAAAGCTATTTATATGCATGAATCAAGCGGAACACTATGGCGATAGCTGTACTGCTCCACTTGTGAAAGTAAAATCTGTTGGGCTCTTTTTTGGCATCAAGACAATTATTTCTATTGCCACATTGCCAGACAGGACACTGTTAAAAAAAAAAAAAAAAGGCTGCTCTAGGACTCAATGATCAGGACGAAAATTATTTTTTACATTTTTTTTACTGCTTACGCTATATTCATTTAATCACCGTGTACGTATTAGCTTTAGGTATAAATAATGATCTATCATCATTCCTTTCTTTTTTTATCTGTGTGTCTCTGAGTGTTCAAGTCTGCCTAATAAAATCTAATGAATTACTGATGAAGCATCTTGTACTTGCACCTATGATACACATAATATTCCTGCTAAACACCTAGGAGCCTAAAACTAACCAATGAAAGTGATGAGGCCTGCATTGCGTAGAGCTAGTTATTAGATTTAAATCATATTCACTGCAAAGTGTTAACTTTATGAAGCTGCAGGAAAGCAACAACAACCAATGTGTTACAACATCTCATACCAAATCAGAAAACAAATGCTAATATTTTCTCACAAGAACTCCAGTTGTGCTAAAATATATTTTGATATAAAGAAAAAACATAATAAGAGAGACTGTTGTATCAGACTGGGAACTGAGTATCTCTTATTACCTAATCTTATCTGCCTCGCATTGGAATTTTAGACAAAAAAGATAGTGGGAAGGACACTAAAGTGTGTGGTTGAGAATATGTAAAGTTTTCAACTGTTGATGGTCAATAGTTAAAAGGTTTCTGAAAGTTTCTGAAGGGCAGGGGCAGTAAAAAAAAAAGGCACATACAGTATAGCATGTCCTCACTACGGGTTAAACACATCTACTTTACACATACACACCTTATTATAGTACAATAATTGAAAAAGTTTAGCAAGTGGAAGAACCTTGTGTAAGGACAAACTCTAATATTCAACTCCATAACTGTGGCTATTATGGAAGAATGTCATAAGAACACCGAGTTGCAGGTCGATAAGAGCCTTATAGGACACACGGCTAGCGTGCAAGAATTTGTTCTGGTTAAAAGTTAGTGAAATGTGTTGGCAACAATATCCTGTCAGCATGTAAATATTCAGACCCAATAAGAAGTTGGTCAAGCAAGATGGAGCAATAAAAAAGAACAAGAAAAACTTGTATTACTACTGGTAAGAAGTTGCAAAACGCTTGAGACTGGGCAGAGGTACTGTTTGGTCTTGGAAAAAAACCTTCTGAACATACGTGGACCGTATGTCAACGAATACACTAGAAATCTTTCAATTGAAGGAGTCATGTGATTTAACTGCCCAGTCAGAGTTAAAGGAGAACACCGTTTTTTTTACATTGGGCCCTTGATTTTACGTTATTACATCATGTACTACTCACCCATATGAGTTTTGTGTCAGTTGGAGCTGTTCTAAAGATATTCCGTTAGGTTATATCCAAGTAACGTCTTCCTATGGGTAAAGACTTGAAGGCACAAACTAAACTGTTCATAATTTATTATTTATGGTACGCCAGCATTCATAACATGTAGGCGAATCACTGTCCCCCAGACATCCACAGTTATATTTTTATTTTCAAAAAACAAAGCGGAGTGTGTATGACATCATCGCGCGCCGGCTACCATTCATTCTTCCTGTCCGATGAACTGCTGCTAGTTTAACTCACATGCCTGTAAGATGTCTAGTGTTACTACCACAGATGGTCTCGCTCTCGAAATGGAATTGAACGATTCAGATTAGCTAGCCGAAAGAATAGAAGGGGTAGAGCGTACCCGCCTGTGGCCCGGGCTGCCTGTCACAACTCCAGTTCGGCGCACGGATGACGTCATACACACTCCGCTTTGTTTTAAAAAATATATAAATATAAAAAATATGAGTAGAAAATTATGTTATAATGTAAAATATAGTAAAAAACCAGTGTTCCCCTTTAAGACCAAAGTCTAATAAAGACTTCAACACATAAGTCTGAGTCAGTCTGAGGCATTTTTTAAAATAATTTGAACAATGATTTCAATCTTTAGGTGTATGAAGTGTTAGAAATTCTCCTCCTGAAAATGATCACTATTGAAACAGATGCAAACTGCTCTCCTCATAGCAGACTATAGCAGTAAATGAAAGGGCTTCCTTAAATTGATACCTTTGGAGTCACAAGTCTGTCATCAACCATACAGAAACGCCAAAAAACATACAATCATGCCGGATGAGAAGTGTCAGTGCTTTCCGCTTCATGAAAAGCTACTAACAGTATTTGTCATTCCACTAACAACAAAACACAACTAAAATGTCTCCATGACCTCAATGTGACCTAAAGTCTAAAGCCAGTAGCCATAAAGAGCCGTCCTGAGAAATAACTCACCGCCAGCAACAGAGGGCGGCTTTCTTTGACAGCTCCCACGCAGCCCAGACATCCGATCACCATGATGATTGTCCCCACTGCGATGAGCAGGTTGGCTGCCGACAGGGAGGGAAGGGATGAAGACAGTGTGGCAAAGTTTCCCTGGGTCACCGAGAGCCAGATTCCTACCCCCAGGATGCCACATCCTCCCAACTGCAGAGGAAACGCAGAGAATACAAAGCTGTTAGCAAGTTATTTTTCAAAAGGAAGAGAAAGCATTAATTTTGTATGGTGAGTTTCTTTTTTTGAAGCCTTATTGCACTGGAGGCTATCACAGAGAAGTCCAAATGTTCAATCAAAATACAGATTCTGTGAATGAAAATTATGCATTTGAAAAAGGTGATCATTTTTGTTTGATGAATGCTGAATGAAGCTTAATTAAGAATGCTATGCATAGGCAGCAAATTAAAGGGTTTAGACAGAGGCAGTTTTAACTGAAATCAAAGAGACCGCTTTTCATACTGAAAAATAACACTAATAGGTTTGCTAGAAAGCCAGAACTGAATACATCCAACCTTGTTGGATTTTTCTAAGTGCTTCTCATGGGATCGCTAATAACCTGTTCAGAAATGACTGATAATGAGCATGAGAGAACGCAGTGTTTTCAAAATTGATGTAACACCTGAATATCTTGTTTTCCTTATGATTAAAACAGTACAGACCTGAAGTCGCTTCAGAATAACTGTGACATCTCAGTTCTGCAGTGTTATTGTTAATGTTCACACCGCTGTAGGATCGAAAAGTTTCCAAATCAAAAAAAAAAAAAAAATACAAAGTAAAGAAAATCATGACAAAAAATTGGCTAGTAAGATATGCTCAAAGGTTACAGTAAATGTATTTGTGAATTAATTTTTCTTTGAGTATTGAGTATCTTTGAAGTTTGTTTATGTTAATAAAAGCTCACCATCCACCTTCAATACTATGTAGGCCTAATCTTTAACACTAGAACTTCTACGGAGAATGTCTCCGTGATTCACAATCAGACAGACAATGCAGAAAAATAAAAAACAGTGAAAGTGGAATGGATCCTAAACTAGACAAACACAGCTGATAACAGTTCTGCATAGATTGGGGCATCTCACATGAAAAGTTCTTACACCCTTGTTTATGAACAGGTTAGTCAAATGGCTTTGTTGTGTTTTCATAATGACTGTTTACTCTGTAAATGTTTTCTAATCCCAAAATCTTGGTTGAAAATGCCCAAGAAAATGCTGCTTAGTAATTGTGTAGCTATGTTAAATTGACAGTAAAGTTACACATTGCTCTATTTAGTGAGTTACTTTAACTTGGTATGTTATGTATGTTTTTGTGTTTGTACGTCATATGTTCTTTCTATTTTAACTTGGTTTACAGCATTGTGCAAAAGAACAAAATACAACCTAATTTACAACAAATATTTACCTCCCTTTGGGTAGAGCTATGTACATCTGTAAATAATCTTGCAATACATTAGAATACACAACATACATAGTAGTCTAAGTCATCTATGCACATCTGCTTCTTCTCTGTCTGGCCACATAGTTTCATCTGCAAAACAGCCAGTATCATCTCTAGCAATGCAGCAAGTGGCGGATCCACCCTCTGCAAGACTCTGCTGTGATGTCATCACACATTGAATCCATTGCTGCCAACAGGTCTATTTAGGTATGATGTAAGTTATATGCCTTTCACTTCCAAGAAAATAAGGACTATATTAGTGGAGTAGGGACAGTGTTATTTAACCACAGATCCACATTGCAGCGGTGGAAAAAAGATATTATCCCAAACAAAAGCATACTTGTTTACATGATCTCTGATTAGACGCCTCTGATTCTGACAACTCATTTTGACAACAAGTTAAACATTTTCAGAGCAATAATTCAAGCATGAAACAGGGACCATTAGTTTTTATATGGAATGTCAACGTTCAGAGTTGTATAAAAGCAACCGATGCATATCCAAAACCATTTCCATTTTGTTGGAAATACTAAGAAACTGCTACTCTGATGTGCACAGCTGACTCATGGTTGTGGAGTTTGAACTAACTGTTGTCCAAATGTTAAGAATGATGTGGAAACTAAGAAAAATTGTACCGTCTTTTCACAGCAACTCAGTTTAGCTTTTGGCTTTTAACTAAGGCTACATTCACACTGCAGGTTTTGATGTTCAGTTCCAATATTTTAATGAAGTTTTATTTTTTTCCTGCATAGTCATTTAGACTGCTGGTTAAATGGAGCCACCATCAGACTCCGGACTGAATGCTTCAAAGCCCCAACGTGACCTGCCTGCACAGAAGGACAGTTTAGACAACACACAGCAGGACTCTCTTTATGGAAGACATGACAGGTGTCCGCATCTCTGTATAATTGTAAGCTGTAGGAGTCTTTATGAATGAGCAGTCAAAGCTTGGATGATATTGTGAAAGTCCGATGACATGAGCGTTCACATTAAAAGCTATCGGTTACATATCAAATTTTGTACCACTAATAAAAGTGGAACAAATTTATTTTTTTGGTGGTGAAAATGTCATATTTGGGCTGTTCTGACTGCCATGAAGAAAAAAGCCATTAGTTGCATAGGGTAAAAGAAATTAAGGTTGCATCTGTCTGCAGTGCAGTATGTCACAGCAAATGGCATATCATCTCAAACCTCATCGCACTGCAGGGGACAACAACAATGACCATAACAACTCCCCTTTCAGAGGCATAGGCCAGTATTGGGTATTGCAGGCCAACAATGACCTCAATGGCTCCCCATTACTAAGGAGTACCCTGTTTTGTCGGGTTGAATTAAATAGACTTATGTTTGCACCACTCTATAATCCTGGAACTCAAAAGCTATTCCATACATATTGAATTGACAAAGCCTCTTGGATTGAAAGGAAAACGTCTTCATACTTGGAAAACAAAGTCCACTGGTTTGTTTTTTTACTTTTTTAATTTTGCTGAAATGACCATTACATGGATGACTGAGAATCTTCACCAGCATATGTCACAGCAAAACCTTCTTTACTTTCCTTTAGTCATTCAAAAGTATAGTATATTGAGAGTCGAGAACTCAAGTATGCTTAACAGTGCAAACTGTTTGTGAGGCATTTTCCCTCAGGATTTTCTCACAAACAGCAGAATTCATGTTTTTTTTAACAGTAGCATGTTATCCATGTACTGGAGCAGCAAAAAAGCCCAGGGCCTTCCTCATGTTTAATAGTTAACTAGCTTTTATTCGCTTCAATAGGAAAAATATCTTTCAACAAGTTCTGCTTTGCCTTATTAGCCCATAGAAATCTGGGATGGGACTTTGCATTATTTTTATGTTTTTTGCCTTGAAACTGTCCCAATGATGCTATTTTTGATTATTTAATTAATCTTATCTTTGTTAAATGATCAAAAAAATACCTTAGCTCAGTATGATAGGCCTTCAGACTTTCTGGATAATTCACCAATGTCCTCTGGGAGTAATTCAAGTGTTGGCCACTCCTGAAAATGTTTCCACTGTTTGATGTGTTTTCATTTGTTGGTATCTAAAATTGATTTAGTAAAGTCGCAATTAGAAATAATGTTTTAACCTTTTCCAGGCTGTTGTCTGTTACTTTTATTATCTATTTATTTCGTTGTGTACTCACTTTTTCCCCCTGGTTTCACTAATTAAAATTTGAATTATTATCTTTTTTCCCTTTGAGACACTCAGAGCTATACATGTGGATATGCTTTCTTTTGTCTGTTTTTTTTATTTTTCTGTAATGTTTTCACCTGCCCATACCCTTACTCAGTTTACTGATATGTAGATGATATAGACACATGCATTAAAGTTTTTTTAGCAGTACATTGTATCTTGCTTTGTCCATCATCTGTGCAATTTTTTATTTAATGTATGAGAATTTAAAAATAATAATAAGTGGTTTAGGAGTGCATTTTACATTAAACCAAAAAAAAAAAAAAAGATTAATTACAGCAAATAAATGACTAATGTTTTAAAAAATGTATTTAAAAAAAATTTTATCATTGAAATTTTCATTAGGATTGACTTAATAATTTATTAACAGGGACAATAATGTTTCTTTATGGTTTGCACAATACAGTATAATATTACGAACAAAAGGAAATGAGATATGCAGTGTTCTTCCTGCAAACATGATAAGCACGACCTACTTCTAGAGTGAGCTGTAGTCCAAGTCAACAAAGTTTACTAAAGGCCTGGAAAGAACAACAAAACCTCATGGGTGAATCAATACCATCAATTTAAACCAACTGTTGTGAACACATAATATTGATCGCGGGGAGGATTTTGAGGAAAGTGTGAGCAGAACCATTTTCTCTGCAGAACATTCGGTTAAAATACTGCTGGGTTGAATCTGCAATAATGACTAAAGGGGAATCTGGCTATTACATGTATTCAAAATAACTTGCTTGGTGGTGTTTTGTGTTTAGGTGTTGCCTTGAAGCCATCAATGTTAAGTCATACTGAAAGCAAAGCAATGAATTGCAGTCAAAAGGTTTATGTGTTTTATAAATGGATTTTCACAAATAAGGTTTTCAGTAATATTCATCAGCTTAAACTGAAGCACTGATTTTTTTTCTTTCCTTTGGAGGATACAAAGTTTACATATTTATATGTATAACTTGTCATTTAGTATAAAAAATACCATCCATCTCCTTTCTGGATTACTTATCCTTCTAAAGTCTTATTTAAAAAACAAACAACAGAAAAAAGGATCAGCTGAACAATGCTGTCAGTCTTCCTTTTTGCTATGAGTCTTTTCATTTTTTTCTATTCTTCAAATTCATGGTTAGAATGAGATTGACAACAGAATGCTACATTCAAAATCTCAGATACTTTCTTGGAAAACATGGATCATTTCCACAATGAACGCCCAGCTGTGTGCTGGGTAGGCGATGTCAGTGTTACAGTAATGTATGTTCATTGCGTCCTCCTGCTGTTTGCTCTTTCTCATTTCATATATAGCATAACATCTTATATAAAGAGTTCTTAAGGAAAGAGGGTGAATCGCTGGTAGCTTTTTACTCTTTTAAAACTCCTGGGACATTTAGGCTGCGTGTGAGACGTTTGACTCACTGCCACACTTAATGGAAACCTTAAAGCATTGGACAGAGAAGACACTTGGACAAAGCTTCCAAATATCTTATGTTCTGATGAAAGCCGCAAGCAATGATAAT